TCCACCCATTTCCCCCTAATGGGGGACTCTGGGCAGCTCACAAGATCTGTTAAAACAATAAATATATATTAAACCACATAAAACATGAAAACTATGCAAGCATTACCAAAAGGAAAGAAAAAGTTCAAGAGGCTGATGGTTTCCAGAGCTGCAGATGACAGGCCTCTAAGGGGCTAGCCATCCCACATTTGTTGTCTTCCCTCCCCACCCAGGCCAAGGGGCAGAGCCAGGTCTTCAGATCCCTCCGGAAGGCCAGGAGTGAAGGGGCCAATCTCACCGCCAGGGGCAAGATATTCCAAAGGGTGGGGGCTACATTAATTACTAATTACACTAATTACTCTTTTCCTGAGAGTAATCCCCTGTGCAGTTGCCATACAATCGTGGGAAAATGTGCCTGGTTGTTTGGCTTAAGGAATTGCTATATATGCACTCCCTTATGCCCTAAAGTATGATTTTGCTTTCACATCTGAAATACTGCCTGGTCCTAGTATGGAAGACTTTTCATTATCAACTATGTCATGTTACTTGTTGTTCAGTAAAAAATGTAAAGGAAGAGATGTTACTAAGTAAAGAATTATCCAGTCTATGAGGAACGAAAGAAAAATGGACCAATTCACAGATAACAGTACTATTCAGCTTAGGAGAAAAAAAGGTAGGATTGCAGAAAATAGTTATCAATAATTTAGAAACTATGTAATATGGAAATCTCACAAAGAACAAAGACTAACAATTCCAGAAAGTAGGGGTGTAGAAACACCCATATTTCACTTTATATCCATTTCCCACATTTACACTCAAAATAAGCAAATAGCACACTGGACAGAACATTTTCAGCCTGGTGTATTGCAGTTCTATTTTCAGAAAATAGCATAATGCCTGCTGTCCAAAATCAAAGAGAGGTGTTAAAATTAGAGTGAAATTGTGCACAGAAAGACATACAGTGTATCAATTAAAATAAATAGGATAAATAATAAATAGAATAATGAAATAAAAATAAGAGTACCAGATACAACTGATTAGACCATAACATGCAGAAAGTGAGAGCCATGAACTTATAATTTCACTCTCTCCTAAAGCCCAGAAAAATACAAGGGCTGGCTATGACTACATAGTGATAAAAGAATGTAGCACATGCTCAATATGTTTCTCCTCACATACTCCATTGCTGAACCCTGACCAAAGCAAGCTCTTGGATCAGAATGTAGTAGGCACATGAACAGCACATGATGAGAGCAATGCACGACACACAGAAGGGCCATTGTCACTCACTTGATAAGATAGACATCATACTTCCCCGCAGAGCGACCAGATTTTCTCTGCTTGAGTTTACGAGTCCAGCCCTCAGGCAAAGTGGGGTCATCATACATGGGACCACGATCTCGGATGACAGAGCGGCGCTGTTTTGGAGATGCAGAGGCTTCAGGTACAGCTGGAGCAGTCCCAGCTCCTTCAGACATCTCTGCCTTGCCTGCTTCAGCTGGCTCCGCAGAGGGCTGGGCATGCTCATGTTGCTTTTCTTCTTTCCGCTCTTTCTTGACTTTTTTAGATTTGGGGGATTTGTCCTTTAGACCCTGTAAATCTTGGTCCTCAGATTTTTCTTCCCTGTGAAAGAGAAAAAAAGTCTTGAATGTTTAGCACGTCATACAACAAAATATGAGCAGGACTGGTCGGTGAGATAAGAAATCACCTACAGCCAAAGCCACGTTGATAAACTGTCTTTCGCATACATATATACCTTTTGGAACACTATCTTGGGAGGATCAAGAGAAAGAAGGGAAAGCAGAGTGTGACTTTTGAAATTCTTTCCAACCCCTTAAATAATAGCTCTCTTCTGAGTCATGTGACGGAGAAAGGCGGAGGGAAGGGGGTTTGATGGAGCAGCTGCCAACATTCCAAGCCACTGCCCATTGCCTTTGACACAAGGATGCAACGGGAGAATTTTTCTGGATTTTCTGTCTACAGTCTCTGGCCTCAGATGGCCCATTTTCAAACCTGAGCTTTATTTTGCAGGCTTCTCCCCACATACTACATTTGGTCCCATTCCATTCAGTTTCTGGGGAACTATCTATCTATCCATAGGTACATACTTCTTTTCCATATTTCATTGGACTGGACAGAATAAAAGAAACAAGAAGTGGTGTACAAAAAGAGACATCAAAACTTCGGTGTACAAATACAAATATATGAAATAAGGTTCAGTAGAAAAAAGACAGGGGAACTTTGGTATATAAACAGATGTTACAGGAGACCTATAAAGCAGTGATATTCACTTCTAAAACAGACTATTTGTTTTCTGTAACAACAATATGAAGCCATTGTATATGGTACCAGTAAAGCCTTATTTAGAATACAGGATGCTTTGGTATCAGTTATAATGATTATTTTTTAGCAGATATGATAAATGTTTAAAGCATTAGCTCTCAATTATTACTTTTACAACCTTCTGTGCATAGGAAAGATCAAATAACAAAGAATATTAATCCTACAGCAACGCTTGATCCTATAGCTGATACTCCATACACTCTATTTGGAAATACCAGGTATGTGACAGAAATTTGGAAATACACAAGGCACAATAGGTATATTCTATATAAAGGAACAGGATAATTACTGGAGCCTGCATGGTTGATTAGGATCTCAATTGTTTTATTCAATTTTTCTGGCACAGAGGATGAAAGCACAGGCAGCAGTTCAAAGAGAAAAAACGTCCAGGGATCTAAGACAAAAGGCTGGAAATATCCCAGTTGGGCACATAAGTGCTTTAGGAATCTATGTTTCCCTCTATACAAAGGGAAAATCTACACAGCAATCGATTT